TTGGAACAGTTAAATTCCAAAATGCTTGACAGCCAGAGCTGGCATATCAATAATCCTGCTTCCAAATAAATTACTCACTTAACAATCTTCAAATTAAGTTCAAGAAAAACCTTCCTTTGGCTCAAAAATGATCAACTTTCCTCCGTGGTCCTTAAAATACAGATATACATAAATAAAACAGACAGGGAGGAAGAGAAAGAATCTACATAGGTCATTCCAAAGTGCTTCACAGCCAATAAAGTGCTGTCACTGTTCTACAAAAGAAACTTTGAATACAGCTCAGCAATAAAAGTTTAAATAAAGATTCACTATTGAATAAAGCTTGGCGTACATTGTACAATGGATGTGAAAATTTGAGTGTGTGGAAAAGATACGTGAGAATTTGGTTCCAGGAATGATGAACTTCATTTGTGCATAGATTGGTGATGCTGCTGTTACTCATGAAAAGAAAGGTTGAGAGGTTTGATAAGTGTTCAAAATCATGAGGTCTGGACAGGGAGAAAACTTACCTTGATCATCAAGAATCAGAAGAGACTTGGTGTCAAGTGACTGGCAAAAAATTAACAGTGACATGAGGAAAAATGTTTTTATGCATCAAGTGGTCAGCATGGACGGTGAGCTAAAGATGACTTTTGGACTGTGGGTAACAGCTTGTGTTAAAAGACCAAACAAGCCAGGAAGTTAATTGCAGATTGGTTCCTGATCAAAAGGCTCTGTAGACGCTTCGTCACTGGGGAAAAGCATTACGTTTAAACAGATAGCAGAAGCTGGCTATTAATGAGGTCAGTACCTGGGAACTGGTTCCTGCAAGTCTGGAGAAGACCTTGTGTTCAAGCAGATGGCAGATGTTGAATGGTAATGGAAACTTTGCGGAGGAGATATTAGTCTGTCAGAGAGTGGTCAGAGTTTGAATTGGGTTTTGGACTGTGTTTTCTATGGAGGAAGAGTCTGGCTGTTGTGCTATGGGTGAAAATTTGAAAGCTCCCTGCCTAACCTCTCTTTTCAGCTCCTGGAAGTTCACAGAATAGAAATTCAAGTTATAAGTATTACTGCCTTTTACCTGGGTGAAGTGGAAAAGTGATGCTTATGGACAATTTCAGAAAAATCAACCAGAAAACCATCATCTAAGCCTGTGGGATAACACATCATGAAAACCACTTACATAATCTGACCAGTTTTGTTATTTTATTTATCCCTTAACTGCGTTTGTCATCAGTCTTTTGTGTGAATGAGGCTGAGAACAAAGGTTTTTGGGTTTCTAGCATAAACCAATTAATTACTTGACTTTGCTCCACTAAAGTTACTATTATTAATAAATTGTTAAGTCTTTTGTTTAAGATACAAATTAATGTATGGAATTGATTATTTTCAGAATCTGGGATTGGTTATTCAGAAATCTATTTAGAAACCACTAAAGTCAATTTTGAGAGTCTTTGAAAGTTTTAATTTTATTGCGTTATGAATACAAAGGTTGAAATTCTGATTTGGTTCAGACATCTGCCTCCGTGTTATAACACCATGCAGGACTCTCCTTCCCCTCACCTGAAGTGTGGTGACCCTCACGTTAAACCACCATGAGTTGTCTTTCTTTAATGAGAGCGGCCCTTTGGTCCAGTAGGATTATAGCAACTTTACCCATACCTATGATATTAAAAATACTGCACCTAATATTAATGATGTCCATTACCATTGTAAACAAACACACTGGAAGGAAAAAAGATAACACTTTATTTGGTCATGTGAAAAAAGCATCAGCTGCTTTATTTAAATAAACCAGATCCTTTCATATGGAAAGAGCTATTACAAATCACATATTTGAAAGGATAAACAATAGGTACTGAACTGTAAACCAGAGGCCAGCACACACTCAAACAGTTCAAGCCTCATTAATAAATAACTCCTCAGTGTACATAACATATCCACTGTCTGTCCTTTCAAATATCAAATCTACACGAAAAAAACAAGAATAGATAAGGCCAAAAGACTAAGATGCACGTTTCTGGTTATAAACAAACAAAATGTTCCATGTAAATGTCTATAAAGCAATCTTTTCAGAGCTTCTAACTCTTATTGGAATAGAAGTCCAACTTTATAAAAAAAATTATATAAAAGGATACAGAGCCGGGGATCAGAACATTCGTAAGATATATACTCAATAACACATCAGGAAAGCATAGAGAATGTAAAAATGTCTCTGCTTCCCATCTTATAACAGGTTCCGATATGTATTTGATTAATCTAGTCATAAACATAAAAAGCATCAACTATAATACACTTCCCCCTTTCTGGGTGAACAAGCTTCTCTGAAAACAAAATAAAAAATCATTGAACTGACAAAGATTAAGATGTTCAGCACCACAACAGGGGCATACATGCTATGAAAATGTTGAAAGTGAACCTGCATCAATTAAAATCATGCTGAATATCTTTACTACACAGGATGTAATAGTAAAACACAGGGGGATTGAGGGAGATCTTTTCCTCAAATTGCGGAAACTCCCGTCCGAAAACATCCTTGGATTTTTTTGTTTCACAGCGGTAATTACCACACCATCGCTGCCTGCAAATAACTCTTGTTAACTGAGCCACTGTACATTATAAAATCAAAACAATTAAAAACTTTAATAACTACATAATGCTGTACAATATTTAAGTCATTCACCTGACAGCAAAGAACTAAATCGGACACTTTGCAAGGGATTAGTTAAGGAAGATATAAGCCAACAGATTTCTGAAAACGTGCACATGTCTTTTGGCCCCACCATTACACAGAGTTGTCAGACAATATATAAATAATTGATCACTGTGAAACATACCCTTTTTGTTGGCATATTTCTGCACATCAGTACATATTAAATAATGTAGTGTTCAGAAGAGACCATTGATTCAGAGGAAGAACTCTTCAGTGGGACAGTTTCACTGATTACACGAGCGCTCTGAGCAATGCATTAAGGGGATATCTATTTTATAGCAAAACCATTGCCCTTTAAAGAGGAGTTTTTTTTTAAATGTGAAAGGAATCTGTTTTCTTTTATTTAATCTGCCTGCCATGTTGAATCTGAGGTGAATTATTCCTGCTTAAATAAAAAGCGAGGAGCAAGCCACAGGTTCCCTATCTACAATAATGTCAGACAGAAGCACAAAACAGTTGGGGGCTGGCAGCTGTAATGTGGGAGATGATGATCACCCATTTGTTGGCTACGTTGCAACACAATCACACACACAGTGGTGCTCAGGGTTTCAGTGGCAGAAGCTCAGAGACGGAGTCTCAAGCACAGCATCACAGATCTGTTCATTAGTACTGTAAAAGAAAGCTTGTGTGAAATTCTTAAACTTGTGGGAAAACCCCAATTAAAATGGGTTACAATGCCAACAGCACACAACTAAAAGAAAACAGATGACCAACTGGATGGCCAAGGATCCAAGTTCCGGAGCTGCTTGCCACTTCACTCCTTCGGAACGTACCTCAGTCTACACATCTCTCCATCTCTTTGGAGGGGAGCAAAAAGAAATCAAATAAGACACAGATGTCTGCACTCAGATTACAAGTGCTTCTTGTGCCAATTGGGCATAGAGTTTTACCAGAATTGTCACGGAAAGCTTTACAATTTCAGACCACTGTATGATCCACTAGCAAGTCTGCTTTCCCCATTTAAAACCTGCAATTCAAACAAACTGCTTTGCTAGAACACAGAAGACACAATTTCTAGCCAAGCTCTCAGTTAAGCTGCACAGGGAAAGAGCACCATTGCTACTCTCTGAAGCTACAATAAAATCATGATGAAGACAACCTCATTTCTCAGATGGTGGCTATGTGTCTCAACTAAAACACCAGAACCTTTAGGGAGAATCAACAGGCTGATTAACAAATACCTGCTGATTAATCGTCTAAAGGGTAGCTTTTGACAAGAGAATCCAGGTTAGCAGCTCAGGTCCTTGGTGATTTCTCTACCTAACTACAAATGATAAATGACTTTTTTCTTTGATGTTCTTGCAAGGTCAATTTCAAAGCAAATACTAAAGTCAATATTCTAATGAAACTGATGAACTTGTCGCATTTATAAGCTACTGTAAAATCCTGGTCCTTCTAGTTACCAAAGTACTGGGTTAATTCTGCCACAATTAATTTCAGCATGTGACCATCAGGATAAACAAACTTGTTGGGAAAAGAGATTAAATTTTACATTCATGAAATAAAATCCATAAGGACAGATTAAAGTTAGAAAAGAAGTAAATAGTAGCACTGAACGGAAGTTATGCAAAAATAGGCGAAGACACAATCAACTCCATTCCTCCTCTTCCACATGAAAAAACAAGCTCAATGTGAAAACTGTAATAGTTTTAAAAGAAGTCTTGTCAATTGGGCTCAAGAACTGAAAGATTTAAAAACTTATCCACTTTTTTTGGGCTCTTACCAACCACATGATTCACTGTCTCCTATCTGACCACCTTCCTAATTCTCCCTCTAATTACAAAAGAGTGTAACACACTCAATCCATCATCTGTCGACTGTACTTAAATGACCCTCAATGCCACAGCATTGCACAATACTGATCGACACGATATTGAATCCGATCCGGCCAGCATTATAAGAAACTAAGGTGACACAATCATTAAAATGTTAAATTGGATTTTCTTCATTAGTCCTTGAGGACTAATCAAATTAAAGAACTATTACAAGGATGACTTTAGTAACATTCCTGATTAAGTCCTGCAATTTTAATTCCCAAATTTAATAACTATAATCAAATATATAAAAATTATAATTTGTCACAACACCAAAGAAAAAGTGAATTGGCAGCTTCCATTTCAATAAAAATGTTAACCGTTCTGCCTAACTCTGTCATACCTACTGTCTACATCAGGTTCTACCTAACAACTTGGACCTCGCTGGTGACACACTTGAAAACCAAGGACTCAATTCAGTCTGGAGGATGTCTGCAGTTTTGAACTGCTGTTGCGGAGTTCAGTGTGGTGCTATATTTAGTTGTGTGCATCAGAAAATCTTGGGATGCCCTATCCCTATCAGCTAAGACACTAATCCGGGCTCATTAGCATGAACTTACAGCAGTATTCTGCATCAGTTCAGTGGCAGCAAGAAAGTTACTGGAATCGCCCCTGACCAGAGGCAGGGGCCCAGTTGAAAGGTAGTGCACAAATCACGTTCAATATTACCATACAGTACTAACTCCAATTCAGCAACACTGTCAAACAGACCAGCTTATATCAACAGAATTGATGGTGGCAAGTAAGCTGAATTAATTCCTCCCCACTACATTTGATCTTTACAATAGAGGGTGAATGTTGACATAGGTCACTGAGCAGAATGCCCACTGTGGAACTTAAATCCTTGGATTCTAAATTTCACGACATGCGATTCAGTCCCTTGCAGACAAATGGAGGACAAAATTCATGTTGGATGTGCGCTAGGGAACAACGTACAGTGGATGTGTAAAAATCTAAATACCAAAGATAAGGAAAGTTTACCCTTAACAGGACTATCTGCAGTAGTCTATTAATACTGATGTTAAAGTTGCCAAGTTATTGCAGGAGCCCAGAACTACATATGCACATTTATTTACTGTATTTATCCACATGCATTATACAGGTCATGACTGAAAGCATGGTACTACCTTTAATAAATGAGTATCTATTCCTTATTTGGTGTCATGCTTCTTCAGGAAAGGATTCTTGATTTGCAAAGTGTCTCTTCTCAAAGTAGTCATAGGAACTTCTGTGCTGGATTAGAACCATTCATATTTTACACTTTAAGAAAATATGTGCTAACGGCCAACTTAAAATGGTTCAACTGTCTATTCTGGATATACAGCCAACTACTCCATAACCCATTCTTAATTGTTTAGGGCAAAGAGTACTGCATGAAGTAGTTTACACAGTCAACATACTCTCAGGATATAATTAACTAATTTAACAAAATTGCAGGCTAGCAAATGTGGGAAGCAATTTTAAAAATGTGCAGGTAAAGTATGTATTATTGGTATTTTTTGTTACTGCTACATCTGAATGGTGTAGCCTTAATCCTGCACATGTGTAAATGAACAGTAAAAGACTATGCAATGAAATAACCCCACAGCCACCACTTTGTGAAGTAAAAATCCTGCTGTGATTGTAATTTAATACTGTTTAATGTTGTGCTGCACTGCTGAGCATGTACAAAATGTGACGCTTTCAAAACCTTCTGCTATAGGAGTTTTACCTGTCAGTAATGAACAAGCTGAAACATAATTTGTCCTGAACAGCCTTATTTTCTGTACAGTGTGCCCAAAACAAATATAAATAGATTATAGAGTGACAACGTACATCTGTGTTTACCTGCATGGATGTCAAAGGCACATATTACATATGCCACCATATTTCTGATTTTTGTCCCCCATTCATAAAGTAACTGGTCACTCAAAGTTAGGGAATGCATCAGGTTTTGATGCAGTGACATCAGGTGCACCACGCTGTGTAGGAAAAGAAAACAACGCTACATGCCAACAGTCAGATCTCAAATACAATTGTTCTGTACAACCAGACTACACCACTTCAAAAGGATACTCTCTTGCCTTAGTGGGGTGGAAATCTTGAATTCAACTGTGGTTATCGAATTAAGAGTTATTCTCCAATGAATAGTACAAAAACCTCCAAGAGTTCACATTACCTTGCACTGGTATCCGTTTTACTCTCTGCTTTGTCAAGACTGAGCAGCAAATGAAACATCAAACCTTTTTTTAAAAAAAAATGAAGTCCTAGCATTCCAGAAATCCCAAGTCCATTCTGATTTTTATATATAGATATATATCAATTTTTTTTAAACTGCGGGGGATCATTATGCTTCCCCCATCTTCCACTTTAATGCCATGGTGGTCAACTGGTCCAGTTCAAACAGCTCTCTCCTGTGTCACAGCTTCGCTGGCTGGGTCCTGAATATTCGGTACATTTAAGTTGGGGCTCTCTTCTCCATGATCAGCAATAGCAGTGCCTGGTTCTATTTTCTGGCCAAGGTTAGCGAGCTTCCCCTGCTGATGCTGTTCAAAGAACTTCTGCGTCAACTGCAGCACCTCAGCTCTCTGTTTAGCCTTCAAAAATAAATTTAAGAAGCTTTTAGAATACCACTTTAAACATGTCCAGCTCACAAATGACAAGAGATCTGGATCTGAACCAGACTTTTTTGGAAATCATGCACTCTTAAATCTGACCATTTTATAAAATGTCTGATGAAATATGTCAAATTTACAGTAATTTAAAAGGCAAAAATTGAATGTGTGTGGTTTCAGATTTCAGCCTGGAAGTGAGAACAATGATGGCAGGACACTATTTTGTTTGGTGTGCTGGTTGTACAGGACGTTGAGGAGGCCAGTTTTGGAGTACTGCGTACAGGTCTGGTCGCCCTGCTATAGGGAGGATATTATTAAATTGGAGAGGGTGCAGAAAAATAATTACAAGGATGTTGCTGGGATGGAGGGTTTGGGTTATAAAAATAGGCTGAATAAGCTGTGACCTTTTTCCCCTGGAGTGTAAGGAGTTGAGAGGTGACCTTATAAAGGTTTATAAAATCATAAGGGCATAGATCAGATGAAAAGCAAAGGTCTTTTCCCTAGGGTAGGGGTTTCAAAACTAGACAGTATAATTTTCAGCTGACAGGAGAAAGATTTAAAAGGATGCTGAGGGAAAAGATTTTCACAAAGAGGGTGGCTCATATGTGGAATGAACTGCCAGAGGGAGTGGTAGATACAGGTACAGTTACAACATTTAAAAGACATTTAGACAGGTACATGAATAGGAAAGGTTTAGAGGGATATGGGCCGAGTGCAGGCAAGTGGGACTAGTTCAGTTTGGGCAATTTGGTCAGCATGGACCGAAGGGTCTGTTTCCATATATACAACTCTATCGACAACATAAAGGAATATGTTATTCCGCCCCTCCCTGGTGCCCAATGCATTGTATACCTCATTCTAATGTCAACTCAGGTCGCTTAAGCTTAACATCCGTGCATCAGGAAGAAACTAGTTTCAGAGTTATCATTAATCACATCCATAGGTTCTACATACAGCAGCATTTAGGTCACACACTCTGGTGCAGCAGCTGTGGTGTGCAAACATGTCCACTGAGAAATTGGAGGTGGGTTGGGAAAGAGGCAAAGGGCCCTGGTGTCTCTGCAATATTTACATTCGCTCACCTTGAGATCCTCTTCTCCTCCCCTTTCAGAGTTGCAAGTTCGAATTGTGGCTGCTGGATTCTCTCGACTGGAGCTGTGCATTCGAGTTGGGCGTACTGCAATGGGAGGTGCAATGGGGCCCTTGTTCATCTGTATCACGGGGCGTTGAATAGGAGTAGGATAGGTTCCAACACTGGGTGGCCTCATGTGCATGATCATGTTGCCCTGGGGTGGGGGTGGCATCTTAGTAGAGTGAAGGGGATGGTGGTAGGGAAAAGAAAAGTACAGGGTTTTCAGCAATTTAAAGTTTATAAGACTCCGTTCTTTATTTCTAGAAATTAAATTGTGTCTGCTGTTCACAAATAAATTATGTCAATTTTATTGTTGATACAAATTTTACTGATGGAAATTAACAGTCCATCCGTATGGATACAATCAAGGATACCATTTAGCTCTCTTTTACCAATGCTGGAACTCAGAAAGAAATGTTATTCATTTAGTCCAAGAACCTATTATTTCCCACTCCCCACCCTCCAAATATTTATGCATTTCCCATTGAGAAATGTTATTATTGGGATCTGCTTCCAATGCCCTTTAAGGAAGTACATTACATGCTCTGTCATAGAAACTGTAAACAAAACAAAAACAATTCCTATTGTCACTTGGTTCTTTTGTCAATCATTTTCAATTTATGTCCTCTGGTTACTGGTCTTTCTCCTGATATACTCTTTCTAAACCCTGCATTATTTTAAACGTCTCATTAAAACTTCCATAAATCTTCTATGTTCCCAGTTTCAACAGTCTCTCTATGCAACTGTAAGTCCATCATCCCTGACAATACTCCAGCAAATTCAATCTGCACACTCTCCAAGGTTTTGACATCCTTCCCATAGAACTCCAAAGTTGTTGGAACACCTTGATGTTTTCCCATTTGAAACTATTCCCAAACCCCATCCCAATTATCTGGGTCAGCTTCACTTTGACCTTGCTAATAAATAATTGCTTGGTAACACAGAACATAAACATTAGTTTTTGTTTTGTCTAACACTCTTCAGGTTTGGGATGCAAAAACTCAAACTTAGGAGGGGAAGAGTAATTTATGTAACAAAAGAGGGTGCTGATAGATTAGACCATGGTGGGCATGGAGGTGTGGCAGGAGCTGCTAACTGTCAATATTAGCTGAAGAAACCCAGACCAGGCAGGTAGACCGATGGGGAGGGCGTTAAATTGTGGTAGTCCATCAATTACAGTCTAATACTAAACAAACTGCAGATGCTGGAAATCAGAAACTGAAACAGAAATTGCTGGATAAACTCAACAGGTCTGGCAGCATCCGTGGACACAAGTCACTGGACCCGTAATATTAATTCTGCTTTTTCTTTACAGATGCTACCAGAGTCTAACTGCTTTTCCATAGACATCTTTACTACTTACTATTCTCTATCCTCTTCAATTCTCAAGTTAATTTAATCAACTTTTTTGAACATGATATGACACACCTTTGAGGCAAGTGGGACTGAAACGCAGACCCTTTGACTCAGAGTTAGGGACCCAACTTCTGTGCCGAAAGTCACCATCCTTTCAATTCTAATGCTTGAACTAATTCTTCATAGTTGCTTTCCTATCTTTATCAATTAGATTCACTTCCAAGAATTATATTCAGCAGTGCCTCCATCTTTGATGGACCATAAAACCAAGTAATCAGCTCTACCAGCACTTGAAACTTTGCCATGCCCATTACTTTTACCGCAGTTTATTTTTGTATAATTGAAATTACCCATTTTTTTCAACATGTTCCTCTAACAGGTCTACAAATGCCTAAATATGATTCTACTATTTGACAGCCCATATTAGACACTTAATGATGTCACACAGAGTAATAAAAATTGGAGCACGACCAGGCCATTTAATCCTGAGCATGCTCTGCCATTCAATTTAACCTCAGATGGGTCGTAGAAGTTCAGTCATTGAGTATGCTCGAAGAGAGAGGTCGATTGATTTCTAGATATTAACTACGTCATGGGATATGGGGATAATGTGGGAAAATAAAGGCAAGGCAGAAGATCAGTCATGACCTAGGAGCTAACTGGCCTAAACCTGTGTTCCAGCTCAACAATTTTATTCAGAATCCTCTAAATTTGATGCTCAAATTTTGTATCTTTGTGTTCAATTCAAACTACCTACTCGGGGTGCAATTACAAACCTGTTGGGCATAGTGTCCCTGGATGGCTCCTGGTATATTCAAGCCCATTGAGTTAGCAGCTGGTCCAGCTCCAGATGTTTTCCCATTTGGACTTGTGCAACTGGGTCTAAAACAAAACACAATATCAACAGGAATTGTAACAAAATAGAGCTGATTTCACGTGTGGATGACAGCTCTAAGCCTTTACCACCTGTATTAAACTCAATCACAGATTCTGCGCAAGAGAAGAGCAGTGTTTAATGAATTCCAAATTTGCCAACCTTGTATTATAGGCATTTGTTCTTCACTTGGTAAGGTTACACTACTTTCCATTTTGTCAAGTGGCCAACTGTTCTTTTCCCTTCATGATGCTAAGCTCATAGAGACTGTCTATAGTATTTCTACCTTTGGATGCCCGTATTTGAAAAAACACCCGATGAATATTTGCCAGACCAAGAACTTGAACAAATAAATATTATTCTTCATGCAAAGAAGATTCATCACTCTGATTATCTTCAGCAAGGGTCAAGTGCATTTCTCTTTTTTTATCCCAAAGGTCTTAAATTTACTTTAATTCTGTAGGAAACCATTAATTTGCCTTGGGTTTACTGCGTACAAAACACTGGTCATCTTAAGCAATAGATCCTGACAAAATCTATTAAAATCACAATGCTCTTTTAAAAAAAGAAATCTGCATTGCATTTAAAAAGTCCCCTTCTCAATAACATTAGGAAGGTCTGTACCTGAAAAGGTTTGGGACAGGACCTCCAGACATCCCAGAGGAAACTTGTTTGTTGTCTGCAAATTGAAATGCTTTAAGATCCATTTGGGGAATCTAAAAAAAAGAAACAAGTTCATGACACTTTAGAATGCGTTAATGTACTACTCTGTAACTCTGGTCATTCAAAATCATATAAAGGTCACCATTTAGTCCACCGAGCCTACATTCTACTACTTTGCTGTTTGCTTCTAACCTTTAAAATTAATTCTTAAAAATTATTAATTTCCTCAAATATAATGGAAAACTTTACTTCAAATGCGATTATAGAGAAAGAAAATACCACAACAGGCTATTCAGCACAACTAATCAATGTTGGTATTTACATACCATGCCAGTAAACAGTCCTAATCACTTCAATCAATCTTGTTCTTTTATTCCTTCATTCCATTTTTCTCTAGCACCCATACAATACAAATCTATTTTTTTGACGCCATATTTAACTCTGAAGGTGAATTGCACAGTCTCACAACCCTCAATGTAATGGAGTATACTGTGCCCTGGTTTTAAATCTCTTGCATTTAATTTTGCACCTATGATACCTCTGTTTTGGATCCCCTCCACCACTGGCAGGATGCAATCTTTCTATTGACACTACTTTTGAATGTTTTGCACCACAGCGCTTTCAATCTGCATTGCTCCAACGATAAAAGCCACAACTGCTCTGTTTTTGCTCCAATTCTAAAGACTTACTCATCAGCCTATAGCGTGAAACTTAATCTGCATTCTTCTACTATGCCTTCAACACAATACAAAGTTCCAAGGTTCTTTAGAAAAGCATTACAAAACATAGTACGACTGACATCTTAGAGTTTCGTAACAGTCTCTGATTCCCTGTCCTGTACAGCATCCTGCAACTTTTGTGATAAAACCGCTAAGTCAATTAGCTTTTCTTATTTGGCTAACCGGAAGTGTTGCTCTTAGTGTCCTCTGAACCTATACCTCAAAGTCTCTCTGTTCTCAAACAGCACCAACCCCATTTCCATTCTGAGCATAACAGAACTGTGGTTACTTCTTAAAAATTAAAATGCATCAGCTCACATTCACTCTATCACCTTCCTGCCCACTACATTTGGTCTTCTATACAATTAACAATATTTTTACTTTGTTATCATTTGCAAACTTCTTTCAGGGTTAAAGACAAATCATTAACACACAATCAATGCAATACATTCTACACTGTAATAACATTATTTGTAAAAGGGTTGAAGAACAAGGAAACTTTGCTGCAATTCCACATGACCTTGGCGAGACTGAACCTGGACTGGTACATACAAATTTGGTCTCTCTGTGCCTAAGGAAGGATATACTTGCTTTAGAAGGGGTGCAAGAAGTTTCAGAATATTACTATTGGGATGAGAAAATTGTCCTATGAGGAGAAATTGAGCAGAAATAGGTCTTGACACTGATGTTCAGAAGAATGGGAGGTTATCTATTGAAACAATGAAATTTTGATTAAGCATGCCAGGGTAGATGCTGAGAATTTAGGAGGGGCACAGTCCCAGGAGAGAAATTACCCTTTTAGACTGAGGCTAGGAGAAATTTCTTCATTCAGAGGTTGTGAACCTTTGAACTTCTCTACCCCAGACAGTTATGCATGCGCAGTCATTGAGTATATTTAAGGCTGAGACTGATAGATCTTTGGACTCAAGAGATAGAGACCAGACAAGAAACTGGAGCAGATGGCAAAGCAGGTTTGAGGGTCTGAGTGGCCTACTCCTCCTATTCCTTAAACTCTTATATATCTTTCATATAAAGTCTCCGTTTATGTCCTTTTAACTCGTCTTTTATGCTTCTAGCATTTAATGTACGCTGAAACAGTACTATACAACTGGAAATTTCTATCTTAGTCATTCTAATATCCAGTGTTGACATAAAATAAACTTTGGGGAAGATGGTGGAATGCAGCGGAAGTGTCACTGGCCTAGTATTTCAGAGCTACAGTCTGATGGTCTAAGGACGTGTTCAAATTGCCCCATGACAGCTGGTGTTATTTAAAGTCAATTTACAAAATCTGGAAAGGAAAGCTAGTTTCAGCAATGGCAACTATAACAACACAGTAAAAACCGATCTGGTTCACTAATGCCTTCAAAGACAGGAATCTGCCATTTCTATTCAGTCTGGCCTATGTGTGACATGAGATCCACAGTAACACATTACACTTAACTGCCCTTTGATACAGCCCAGCAAACCATTGAATTTAAGGGCAATTAGGGATGAGCAACACATGCTGACACAACCAGCGGCACCCATGATATATATATATAGGATTAGAGGGCCCCAAACACAGATCTTTCAGGGAAAACTTAACTTTAATTGCTGCTTCAGCTATCTATCTGTTCTATTTATAGAATCATACAGAACAGAAGAGACTCTTTGGTCTGTACTGACAAAAATACACTGCTACCTACACTAGCCCCACTTTCCTGCACTCATCGGTGGCGGCAATTACTCGCTAATGAGTGTGACGGTCCACCCAGGAAATTCTGTGTCACCGGTCATGGATTCAATGGGTCCTTGTGTGAGTGATGATCCTAGAGCTACATTTCTGACCACACATTGGTAAGAATTTCAGGGAAGCAGAATTGGTCCTTGGCCTTGAGATAGTTGGCACTGCCTTCTCCAGTTTTATTTTCCATACTTGACGGGTCTTCTCAAAGAATTGCGCCCCTGCAAACGGGAACTTCCTCCAAGTCTGTCTCGTTTGAACGAGGGTCTCCCATGCATTGACATCTATGTTATATTTCTTGAGGGAAACCTTTGGGGAGTCTTTGAAACACTTCCTTTGCCCTTCTCTTGTTTGAGTGCCTTCCTCAAGCTTAGCAAAGATGACTGCTATGGTTGTCGGAATCTGGGCATCCTAAGAACACAGCTGGCCCAACTGAGCTGGTTTTGGATGATGATATTCTTGATGCTGGTACTGTTGCTGCTTCAAGGATGCTTGAAGGATGCTTCAAGGATGTTAGTAAGTCTGTCCTTCCAGCTTTGTGGAGAATCCATCTCAAACAGCATTGATGATACTTCTCGAGGGTCTTGAGGTGGCATCTATACGCAGTTCCAAGCTTTGGAGCCTTCTAGAAGAGTCAGAAGGATGACTGGCTATAAGCAACGATCTTGGTATCAGCACGGATGTCAAGGTCGTCGAAGACTCTCATCCTGAGGTGTCCGAAGGCACCACTTGCAGATTGGATGTGATGTTGAATCTGTGCATTGATATTAGCCTTAGATGAGAGGTAGTTTCTCCGGTAGGAGAAATATTTTACATCTGGGAGGATTTCTCTGTTAATCTTAATGGAAGGATTGACTGGAACTTGACCTGAGGTAGCTTGGCAAAGTATGCATCTTCTTAAGGTTCAGGCTGAGAACAATTATTGAGTATGCTTCCATGAAGGAATTAAGCAAGGCTTGAAGATTCTCTTCCAACACAGCAATGACGATACTGTTGTCCACGTACTGAAGTTCCAAGAGTGAGGTTATGTCCACCTTGTACACGATGTCCACAATACTGGTAAGCTTCTTCTTGACAAGAAGAAGAATAGTGGTGATGAACAGGGAGAAAAGGTGGAAACAATGTCGCATCGCTGCGTGATCCTAACTTGATCTCAAAGGATTCTATCCACAGTACCAGTGAGGACCACTGCTGACATCTTGTCATGGAAGAGTCAGAGGACAATGAAGAATTTCTCTGGTCAGCCAGCCTTTGAAGATCCATCCATCATAATTGCTGAGCCCTGAGCCAAAAGCCTTGGTCAGGTCACTGAAGGCTGTGTAGGCTAGTTGATACTGGTCCTGGCCTTTCTTGTGGAGTTGCCCAGCAGTGAAAATCATGTCTACAGTTCCATGCCGGCTTTCAGGGAGGATTTTTCTTCAATCAGGAAGGATTTGGGAGAAGGAGCCTCGTGAGGATTCAGGCTATGATCTTCCCAGTGACGGAGAAGAAGAAAATTCCTTGGAGCTCCTACAGACTATCTCATTTCTTGAATACAGGAGTGATGATAGCATCCCCAAGATTGGCCTTTTCCTGCATTAGGCTCATTGCCTTGGATGTTACGACATTTCTAGCGCTCATTCACACACTTCTTAAAGGTTGTAAAGTTTCCCATCAAAACTACCCTCCCAGGCAGCACATTCCAAATCCCCACCACACTCTGGATGAAAAATCTTCTCAAAACCCCTCTAAACTTCCCATCTTTTACTTTAAAATCATGCCCCTTTTCTATTTACCCTTAGACTAGGGGGAACAGCTGCTTTCTATTCATCCTGCCCATGCCCCTCATAACCTTATACACCTCTATCAGGTTCCAACTTAATCTTCTCTACTCCCAAGAAGACAACCCGAGCTTATCTAGCCTCTCTTCATAGCTGAAATGCTCCATCCCAGGCAACATTCCTCCAATGCAATCACATCCAGAAAGTTATTTGAGTGAATAGCATTGGAGTCAATTTTTAATACAGGTTTATATTTATTTAGAGTTACACATTACAAACATTCACCTCCTAACCCAACAACAACAGTTTTAGTTTCTGTCTATTTATAGGTGTGCAAGTAAACCTCCAGTTAATACCCACTACCTGCATACAATCAAACAATCAATGTACAATCAAGACTACTGATCCATGTCACTACTCAACCTTCAATACCATAGGCCTGAAACTTCACAAGTCTTGTTAGTAGTACTCTGTCAACATTTTTGTTCGACTAAATATACCAGATCTCACACATTCTCATTGGCTACATGCTCAGTAAATTTTCACACAAAAGCTTTTAAATTTAATTCTACATTTATTTATAATCACCGGACACCCAAAGCACTTTACAGCCAATGGTGTATTTTTCTCTGAAATATAGTCACTATTGTAATGTTCATATCAGATTCACACAACACAATCTGCCCTTTTCAAAACTGTCCCTGATAAAACTGCATCTCTCAAAGTTCATTGTGTCTTTCCTTCAAATGACAGAATGCTAACTGAACTTAACCCTTTCAAAGCTGGGTGCAACAAACACCATCCACCAACTCTTTAATTCAATTCCTGCAGACAATAAATTTGGATCATGGTTAGTAGGTTAAATTTCATTAATGGTTGAAAAGGGAATTAAAGGGGTATGATAACAGGCAGGAACATTGGGTTTGAATGGCCATTTATGGGAAAGATAACATCAACAGGGACTGGGTGGGTTTCAGTGTTGTCATTTCTATATATTTAATAGATCTTTTTATCTGTCTCAAAATTAAGCCAATTGATCTGACCTCTCTGCCAGTGGGTAGAATAGGAGGCTGGGATCCTGGGGGCAAGAGCCTTCTGGTCCCACCAACACTCAAACTCTGTGCTTGGGGAAGCTGGATGGATTGAGTTAACGCAATCAGTTGCTGCTGGCCTGAGCCAAACCTAGGCAGAGTCAGCTGGGATCCGGGCATAGACATGGTCACCTGCACAAGTAGGAGATATAATGAAGATAGTTTAATACGTGAATCAAACCGTACTATTGTCAACTGCACAATACATACATCATATTCAACAGCTACATGACTAGGTGGTGCATTGTGAAAATATTCCAGTGTTATCATTCAAGTGTAAAGGGAAGCAGCAAACTGTCATCTGCTCGAATCTCACCATCCAGCACTCATTTCATAGTCATACAAAGCATTTTCAGTGATGATTAATTTTCAACTACGAAGAAAATAGTTCTTATTTAGATAACTCTCAAAGGTATAAAAGCAGTGACTATTGTTAGAGTACAAGGATTAGATTATGAGGAAAGATAACACAAACTCTGTTTGTCTTCTCTGGAATGTAGAAAGTTAAAGGGTGATCTAATTGAGATTTTTAGGATTTAAAGGAAATCATGGGCTAGATGGGGAGAAACATTCACCACTGGTTTGGGAATACATGAACATGGCCTTGAAATCAGAGCCAGGCCATTCATGAAAGAGAGGAAACAGTTCTTCACAAAAAGGATTGTAGATAGGTTAACACTTTCCCATTAAATGCTGATGTTAGTTAAATTGACCATTTTAAAACTGAGAGTAATGGATCTTTTGCTAGAGAAGGGTCTCGTCTCAAAGGATATGGAGCCAAGCAGTTGAATGGAGTTTAAGATGCATGATCTCAATGAATGTGGAATAGACTCAAAGGGTTAAATTAACTAATCTCTTGGTGTTTAAACAACAAAGCTAACTTGGCTTATTTACAGTCAGAATCTAATTAGTGCAGGAACAAGATGCAACTGTGCTATCTGGGAATCAATCTAAAAATATCAGAGATTACAAGAATACATTTCACTTTATCGATTTTTTTGTTACATTTTTCCACCCACTGCTTCTTCTGCTTTATCAAGATTAACTTCTCAGTGCTGTGATTTCTCTCAAACTTGGCCAATCCTGCTTTTCTCACCACAATTTTGCTAAAAATATTCTGTGCATGGCCCACTCTTTCATTCCATTTAACTACGATGTCCACTCAACTTGCACTACAATTTTATAAGTGCGAGTAAAGTCTAACCACAAATCCAAAGTCAAAAGATACAGTAAAATTGCGAAAACTCAGATTTCACACAAAGACAAAACTGACGGAAGGAGTAGGTCTAATCTTTAATGTCAACTTCATTTTCCCACCTAACCTCATCAAAACAACTCCCTTTGTAACCAAGAATCTATGGATCTCAATCCTGAGTGAATACACTGAAGAAAGAATTCTAAAGACTTAAGCTCTCATTCAAGAGCTCTCTCAGCCCATGAATCAGTCTAGTGAACCTTTATTACATCCCCCTGAATGTAAGTATGTCCTTCCTTAGTAAAGGTCTTGTGATGCAGTTGTAGTGTTCCTATCTTTGGGTCAGAAAGTCCAAGTCCAAGTCCCACTTGCCCCAAAGGTGTGTTATAATGTGCTCAAGCAGGCTGATCAAAAGAACAGTCCTTCCTTTGGCATGGAGACTAAAACTACACATAATTTATGTGTATTTTACATCAGTAAGAATTTCCTGAACCTGTATCAGCTGGGAGTCCATGATCTGTGAAGTAGTGAGTCCAGGCTGGTTCAGTTGGCTTTCATACATGAGAGGCTGATTTCCACCGATTGCTTGGTAATGAGATCCTGGTTGTGGTTTTACCATATCAGAAGCTGGAACAGCAGGAAACGCTGTATATGGAGTTTTCAGAGGAGCCCCTGAGAGGACCATTGTGGATGGTTGAGACAGGCTGGGGTGCATGTACACTTGGGATCTGTGAACAACAATTTGAGTTTAATCTAAAATACAACTGACTAAAATCTTCATTAAATCAAACACTCAAATGGAATAAATCTTTTCTTTATATCCCAATTTTCACAAGGTGATGCAATCAGCTACAATGCAATTTTAAAGCATGCTTAATTATGGAAGAAAGCTAAATAAAAAATGAACAAACATTTTGAACTCCAGCCCAAAATTTAACTAATGCATAAGGAAATTAAATGCTTCTACTGCTAGAACATTTACTGAGTATCTGAAAAAAATGCAATAGTACGCAATAAAACGGGAGTCACTTATAAGACAGGATCAGTGAGGCCTCAGCAATTCCCAAGTTTGCTGAAATGATGTGAATGGTACCTGAATGGTTGCATTGAACTGAACATTTCCTGGGACTGAGACACGGGAAGTCCATTCCTCAATCCAAGGGGTGCCTGGGCTTGTAAGGACGTGTGCATTGGAATTGGAATCTGATGTGTTGCAGCAGCCTAAAGAAAGGAAAGTAAACAGCAGCTGTGATAACAAACATCCATGTTAAACAGGATAACCACACCCCTTCCAACCCATCAGCAGTATTCATTAAGTGGTCATGTTTTAATACTTATGGTTACACGTATTTTGTACAGTGTCTCGCTGTATCTCACTGATCAGCTATATCTCAATGGTGCCAGTGTTTCAGAACAATCACACATTCAGACTACTGTAGCAGGTGCTGGCACATTACACTGTCACTGCAAAGTTTCTCAAAATTCAAGTTGAAAGTACTGTGAATGAAAGCTTAACCCTTACCTGTGACAGTCCAGCTTGGAAACCTTGCTGCTGTGGAATCGATTGAGGGAGGAGACGGGTCTGACTGGCAAACACATGGCCATCCATATACAGAGGAGAAATATGACTCCCTGAAAAACCACATAGAAAAGGACTTTTTTCTATTCATAGTGTCTAGGTTACACAGGATGAATGAAGGAAATCAAAACAGAGCTCTTATTAAAAACAGGGAATTATCTTTGTGAGAGACAATGTGTTGCTCTCATTCTCTACAGGAGATTTCTTACACAAAGCAGTTCAGCTTGTAAAGGATTTTCATCTTCACAAAGTATTGGATCATTTTCTCTTGCAAATTAAACTTTGCATTCATCTGTTGCCCAATATGCAGAATTTGCAAGTAGAATCTGGGAAATCTACACTGTACTCAGAAAATGGGAATAATGATGTTTAGAACTAAGCAGATATTTAAGTACATTTCATATTTTTCTGTAAAGGCAACAAAAATATTTGTTTTATTGCTACTCTTCAATGAATTTGATTTACTCAAATCAACCAATAGGAATCAGCCACTGATGTGCAACATTAAATTGGAGAATCCATGCAGCTACTTTGCCGTTTAATTCTATGATAAACTGACTAAACACATTCCAATAGAATAATCATGACAACCTGCCCAAACGATTGATCAATTTAATAATTGGGATCACTTTTTAAAGCTGTCAAAAGGAACGTAATCCCAGTTAGTACGGAAGATCAAGATGCCACATACCTGGCAAAGACACTGAAGGTGCAACTGACACCATGGGCATGGGTGGCACAGAAGAACATCCAATTGAGCTGTAGCCTACCCCACTAGGAGGTCCTGTGTTGCACGGGGTTTGCGTACTTGTACTATTGCTGCCAGGAGAGCTCTGTTCAGTAACATTGGGAGAATTTTCCCAGGCCTTACGGGCAGACTCCATCTGACCATATAAAGAAAATGGCACAAAATTCAGTGAACTGGCTGAAAGCTACAACAGCTTCCAAATACCACAACTGATCCATACACATATCATCAGGTATCAATCAATTTCATTCAGACAGCTTCAAAAATACAAACATTGTCAATTGAATGGACAGCTGATCGGCTCACCAGGTAGGAAAGAACTAACTCCACTCACCAAATGGAACCAAAAAGTATCCAAATGAACCCTGTAGTAAAAGCTTAGTTACAATCCAACAAAACACATTCATTCATATGAGGGAAGGAGATAGTTTTTAACCAATGCAAATTAGAGGAAAACTAATAACATTAGAAAGATAGCCTTACAGCTGGCAGACTTCAACATAGCACCTTAATAATTCAGCACAAAATTAATTATGACCATGCTAAAAACACCAAAAAAATCTGAAACTTCAGATTTTAAAAACAAGGATTAAGAACAGCAGCAGGCCATAAAAGCCCTTGAATCAGCTGTGCTTTTCAATAATATTATGTCTAAAATCTGTACATCAAGTCTACTTTTCTGCCCCCATCCCTGTAATCCCTTGATTGTTGTGATGTCCAAAAATATGTCACTCTTGGTTTTGAATATATGCAACAACTGAGGACCCATAGCTCTCTGGGGTAGGGAATTCCAAAGACTTACACCCCTCAGAGAAGAACTACTTTTATTCTTTCATGGATTGCAACTGTTGCTGGCTGGACTAGCATTTATTGCCCATCCCTTGAGAAGGTGATGATGAGTTGCCTTCTTGTACTGCTGCAGTCCATTTGGTCTAATCACAGTCACAATGTTATTAAGGAGTTCCAGAATGTTAACTCAGTGGATGTGAAGGAATGACTATATGGTTCTTAGTCAAGGTGGTGTGTGGCTTGCAGGACTCATCTCAGTCTGAAAAGGCTGGCTCCTTATCCTAAGGGTATGACCCCTAATTCCAGAGTCTCCAGGCAGGACAAACAGTCTGTCACCTTCACTTTCCATTCTTCGAAATCCAAAGAACACAAATCCATCCTACTCAATCCCTCTTTGAAGAGTGGTCCTCTCATTCTAGGAGTCAACCTATGACAATAATCATTGCATTTCTTCTAAGACATTGGGTAAGGAGAGCAGAAGTGCACAGATTACCCCAGTACTGGTCTCATGAAATCCCTACATAATTGCAGCAAGGCCTAACTCTCTTACCCCACTTACTTTTAATAAAGAACATGATAATTGCCTTCCTAATTGCTCTGTGCACTCACATGCTTCCTTTCTGTAACTTGTGTACAAGAACTCTCAAAATCCTCTGAAAAGATTTATGGGCTGTAATCTTTAAATTAGATCTAGACCATTCAGAGGCAATGTCAGAAAGCACTTATTCACAAAGTGGAATGGAAATCTAGAACTCTTCCTCAAAAAGCTATTGAAAGCAAATTAATTGGAAGTGTCAAAACAGAGATAATTTCATTAGGTAAAGAGCATTAAAGGCTTACAGGAGAAAGGCAGGTAAATGGAATTTGAAACAAATCAGTCATGATTCATCAGACTGATGGAACAGCCTCAAAGATCTGAATGACCTTCACCTTTTCTTACAAAAGCACCAAGATTAGTCTGTTCCAAACTTTAGGGCCCAACTAACCCAATCAGGATAAATCAATAAATTAAAGGGAAACAGAAACAAGATGCCTGGTTTGAACTGTCAGGGTTCTTAGGCCTCTTAAGGTCAGAGCTGTTGTTTGGGCACTCCAAGGTTAATACAGACACATAGTCGATGCAGTTTGATGTATGCCAGTATGAAATGATGCATTTTGGGTTAAACAACATGTAGAGGTAGTATAATCTAAATGATGCAATTTGAGAATCAAGCAGAAGGACCTGGGAGCATACACTCACAAATCTTTGAAGGTGTCATGACAAGTTTACAAGGAGGTTAAGAAAACATATGGAACATTTGGCTTTGCTAATAGGGCTTTGAATAACAAAAATAAAACACAGATTAAACCTTTCCAAATCTCTGGTTAAGTTTCTGTTGAAGTTTATTTGTACAATTCTAGGCACCACACTTTGAGAAGAATGGCAAGACTATGGAGATGGCATGTCGGTGATTTATCAGGACATCACCAGGAAGGAAAGACTTCTGTTATATGGAGAGACTGGGGAAACTAGGATTCTTCTCCTAAGAGCAGAAATCAAAATTTTGAGGTTTGATAGTGCAAGTAAGGAGAAATGGTTTCCTCTAAACCTGAGTAATTGGCAATAAAATCAGAGGGGAAATTGGAGAAATTATTACACTGTGATAATGATCTTGAATACAGACCCTAAAAGGAAGGTGGAATCAGATTCCATAGAAACTTTGAAAGGGCATGTGAAGAGAACTACTTGAATGTGTTATGAAGAAGGTTCCAGGATTTGCAACCAAATAGCTCTGTCAAAGAGTTGGCATGGGCAAGAATGACCAAATGGACTTCTAAGCTTTTAGATATGAAGATCGGTGATCAGCCTTACACATCAACCTACCTTTAAAGTGAGGTCAGTGCTTGGAAGAGACACTGGAGTGAGGTTGGGACCCTGCTGGAGATGCTCCCTTCGTAGGATAGGGATTGACTGGCTCAGAGTAACCTGGAAAACAAGAGCCTGGCATTAAATAAAAAACTTGCAAAATATCTTTGCACCATTTCCTGAGTTCCTTAAGTACTAACAACTACAGAAAATTGTTAAAATAATAGATTTGTCCATGCTTGCATATTAACAATCTTTTAACAGCTTAGAGAAATTTCAAGGGTTGCTTAACAGATACCAGGCATGTACAAAACACTATTAAGACCACAGTGAGTGTATAATGTATAATTGTTGTCTATGGACAACAGGAAGCATGCGATCATAAGTATAAAGATTTTTCAATACTGTTACTCAGGAATGGAAAGTTTTAGGTGTTAGTAAAGGCTGGATGGGCTGGCATGGTTTATTTTGGAAAAGAGTGAGCTAAGTTGAGATATAAGTGAAATGCACATAATTGAGATTCCGACTGAGTGGATAGGAAGTCCATTCCCCTTAGCGGCAGGATCAATAACTAGTGGCATCAAATTAAAATAATTAGTTAAGTAAACGGATTGGAGAGTTTTTGCAGAGAAGCATTTCTTCTTCCAGAGGTTGGTGGGGTCGAGAGTTCATTAACTGAAAGGGTGGTGGTAGCAGAAGTCTCATTACTTTTAAAATATTACTTGGGCGTGGACATGAAGGGAAGGCAATAACCTACTGATATTATTGCTGGACTGTTAATCCAGGGACCCAGGTAATGTTCTAAGGTTCAAATCTTGCCATGGTAGATGGTGGAATTTTAATTCAATAAAAATCTGGAATTAAGACACTAATGATGACCACTGACCATTGTTGATTGTTGGTAAATCTATCTGGTTCACTAGTGTCTTTTAGGGAAGGAAACTGCCATCCTTACCTGGTCTGGCCCACATGTGACTCCAGGCCCACAGCAATGTGGTTAACTCTTAACGGCCCTTTGGCAGTAAATGCTTGCCTAGCCAGTCTTGCCCTCATCGCATGAATGAATTTTTAAAAAGTGCCAGAACCTACAGAACCAGCAAGAGCTAGAAAGTGGTATTAGACTGCTAGCTCTTTCAGAGCAAGCACAGACATGCTGGGCTGAATGACCTCATTCTCTGCTATGTGATACTATGAACTTGACATTACTTTCTTTCACCCACTTCTGGTAAAACCTTAATGATGCACTCTCTTCTTCTGGCCTCAAATACTGAAATACATAGATGACATAGTGACTGTAGATTCTAGAATATGGTCAGCAACGTTCATGAAATTCTCAAGGGTATCAATGAATGGGGTGAGGAAAACAGCTTACTGCTAAATCCTACTGAAGATAATGGCATTCAAATAGACTTTCGCAGACATGAGCACGTACCACTCAATATCAAGTTAGATATTAAATCCTGATGGAGGCAAAAGCCTCAAAGATCTCGGGCATGCATGTTTGAGCAGACTTTTAAGTAGAATGTTTATTCTCAGATCCTGCATCCCTTTCAGACTCACTGCCTGTGACCTGTTGTTGATCTACACTGGTTACATTTGTTCCTGGTCTCACATAAATGCACAAGCCACTCAAATTGAAACAATGGACAAACATGCATTGAAATTGATCAGAGGCTGCCAGTACCAGTCATACAACAAAACCTTGCATATTGCAAAGTTTGAAACTCTTATCAACAAGACCCAAAATTTGTACTAAAACTTCATAAAATCCTTTATGCAATCTAACTAATTTCAGAACTGGTCACCCCCACCACCTCACCCAGAGCAATCAATTAAATTTATGCCCGTAACGACAGGAATATCACCCTATTCCTTACCTCGTTTAGTTCCCAATTAAGCATTTAAGTGATGAAATCTATTTGTAATGCACTGCCTGTAATATAGGAATGGTGTATTGGCTTGTGATTTTGATTTAATATTCCTCCTTTGGATCTACCATTCCTTTGTAACCTCATGAATTATCTGCCTATTTTTATTAGCAGAATCGTCATATCCACATGTTTAAAATTGATTAGTCTATAAATTTTGCAAACTTTTAATGCAACTTACATTGCAATTCAGATTTTGTGCTATGAACAGGTTTCCTGAATACTAAACTACTATGATGTACTACTCACATTGTTAGCCAAAACATCCTGCAATTTGGTGATCGACTTGGAAACAGGACTTGGCACTGAATTCTGCGGCAAGTTGAAATCAGAATCCTAAAACAGCAACCAACAAACACTTCTCCGTTAATCAAACGCAATGCAAACACACAGCTAATAACGGCCATAGATTAACAGCAACTATAGGAGCTTTACACAATGCATCTTGAACACAGCTGGCAAATTATCACTGACGTAGACACTCATGGAAAATT